AATGCTGGCCTTTCATTTTGGCAAGACAAAGAGTATCAGCATTAGAACACAGAGATTTAATTTTATTTCTCTGTGATGAAAATAAAATACAGCAGCCCCCTATCGGTCATTTGACTTGTCCTACAAAACTGGTTACAGTAATCACATGAAAATGAAAAGTAAATCCTTTTAAATAATACGTGAGGGCGATTTCTACGAAACACTACTCCTCCGTTTATAATGGGCGGATTTTTACATACGAAGTGTCAAAATTAAGTATTTTTGTGTAGACGCCCACTTTCAACAATTCGTTCAATAAAAGTCCTCGGGCTTTGCCCCACAGGCCTTCAAAATCCCAATATATTTCTTGTGAAGAAAAGTTTTGTTTACTTAAACATACGAATAATTTGTATTAATTACAGCTGTTCATAGTAAACACACGTGATACACACAAGAGCATTCTTTTCGTTTTCAGAGTGAGTTCGTTTTCAGTTTCGATAACTGGAGTGGAGTGATTGATGTCATTATCTATCTTTGAGTTGACTCTTTTAAGTCATCGGAAATTGTGACTGTTATTTGTTTTGAAACATAACGCATGTAATACTTTGCAATTGCTCGAATTCGAGCAACAGGTGCACTATTTGTTATAGAATATGTGATCTGTACGGTAGTGTATCGTTATATATATATATTGTTAAGTGTCAATTTACTGGTTGAATTTTACAAAAAAAGTCACCACAGCAACAGCAATTATTTACTTTAAAATACAGTATATTTACTAGGCAAAAGTGTAGTAAAATGTACAGTATCTAATATTCATCATGACATTTTTAAACTGAGTCTAATATTTTTGTCAACACACAAAAAATAGAGTACAGAGACAATTATGACCAAGACAAGAGAAGCAAAAAATGAAGTCTTAAAACGGTTATGCCCCCCCCCACACACACACACACACACACACATACACACACACACCCTCGATATAAAATCAGTAGAATATTAATTAAACCGGTGTAGCGTTTTCCCTAGCCACGCTCTCGCCACTGCCTCAGTCAACCTTGGCAGGTGTTAAGAGCCAAGCTAAGGCCAATAATAAGAACCAGGTGGGACGAAATCACCTTATTGTCTTCTAAGTTTTGCAACCATTATTCTCAAACTTTCGTAGATCAACTATTCGGTTGGCAAACTACGAAGTTGAACTGAATGCAATTTGATAATTTCATCAAATACTTAAATTGTGTTGATACGTACACAATAGTAGATATGCACATCTGTTACATAGTGCAAAACTACAAATCCTCAATTCTTGCTTTAATACTTTCTTATGAAGTAGTGACCATAATGTAGGCTTTTAAGCCAAAAGGAAATGAGTGTAGGATGAGTGGCGCGATCTTGTAGTCTTGTTAGTGACTAGGGGCGACATTTTCCTTAGACACAGCTGTTAATTGGCCCATACAGCCAATGGAACTAAAGGTAAGGGACCTACAGTTTATAAGGGAATTCGGATCACATCTTTTCCTTGTAATTAACGAATTGGTCTAATTATCAGGATAGTACTGTGAATAGTCACTTGTACGGACGTCAATCCACACCAGGGAGTATCGCATCCACAGTGCATGCCTATATAGTCCCATTTAGTTGAATAAATATATCAACTATTTATACACTACTATGTGCTACTGTAATAGACTTGCAGTTTGACTTGTTGCTTTACCGGGGGCTATCCAAGCTCTCAAACAGTGCTTTGGGAAGAAAAGTATTGTTAATGGAAATATCAAGAAAAATTTAAATGTTTTTCGTTTGGATGTGATCAAATATTTTAAATTTTACACTTTCGTTCGGACACTTCAACACAATATAATTAATATTGTGTCGATTTCATTGAATGAATAAATTACGTTTTCTACTGCGCTAGGTGGTGATATTATAACTATTTATCCGTGAAAATAGACTAATCTCACACTTCGGTAGTAACATCTCGTTGTGAAAAAAATAGTTTAAGCTACAGACATTGAATAAGTATCAGTATTATGATCGGCCAATTTTTGTTTAATGTTTATCTCTGTACAGTGCTCTAAAAACCTAATTGTTTACATTTATACTTTTAAAACTTTTACATTCGACAATAAGCTACATATAAAAGATCACCACGATAAACCAACAGGGAAGCCCCAGCAGAGAGTCTGGTAGGGATCAAGTCAAGTGCAAACAAACAATTCTCTCAATAGAATCAAAGAGGCAACTCTAACATTCAGATTCTGTCTACTCAAAGAGAGTCTAGGAGTGAAATCATCCAAGTTTGAACAAAATGCGTATTTAATATAACCCCTATAGTATTTTGGAACAAAATTATTAGTTATAGAGAAACATATTTGTTGGAATATTAATAACTAGAGTACACGTTGCTCGAATTCAAGCAATTGCAAGGTATTGCATGAGTTTAAAAACTAATAAAAGTCATATTTTCCGACTATTTTAAAGTAGTAAACTCAAAGAGAATTTCTAAAAAAAATACAGTACTGTGTCAATTCATCAAGTCAGTAAAATTTAATGTTTGTAGCGCGCGTTTCCTTGAATTGCAACTTAAAACAGCGATTAAATTATCCAGCTGATCATAATGTAAACAAATATGTTCTTCATAAGGATAACATGGTAACTTTAAAAGCTAAAAATGTAAGGTCAGTTTGCAAATATACGCGTCACGCTCTTGCCAATGAGACGTGAATTGCCAAAACGGTTAAGAATGGCGGAGGAGTTCAAAGAACCAATTTCGTGTTGACGTATTAATTATATAGATTACTGAGACAGTTATTACAATCGATGTTAAGAGCTCGTACCCAGTAAAATTGGCCCAGAAAGCACAGAATAGAGCCTAGAAAGCACAGAATAGAGCCCAGAGAGCACTTTCCATTCTGTGCTCTCTGAATTGGCCAGAGCATTAAAGGAAACATTTGACATTAATTAAAATAACTCCGGTGTCACCACTCAAAGCCGGTGTGTAAATTTCAATGCTGCAATGTTGTGTCAAGGTATGTGCTTCTAAGAAATACTAGACGTTACCTTATTTCTCGAACTCTTTGTTTTAGAAAATAAAATCCCTTGGATTGGGATGTAAACTAATTAACTTCGTGAGATTGTGTTTTATTTTACCATGAATGGTCCACAGTGACTTCAATAGTTAATTAAAATCAAGAACGGAAATTATATGGCATTCTGTTTATTTAAAAATGTCTCAACACGTCGTCAAATCTCTATTGTACTAAACATTAATTGCACCACTCAAAAATTAAATTGGCCTGATCAGCTGATTAGTTGAAGTTCGAATCATTACAATTTTACTTTTCTCTCTCAATCCTTGAATCTCATTGGTCCGTTACCCGTTTTGTTATGAGTAAAACCATAGATAAAAGGAGTAGACAAAGTTGTCTACTCCTTTTATAAAACCATGCTGTTGTGAAAGTAAACAATGCTGTTATGAGAAACTTTTCAATTTTAAGAACTGAACTGAAACGGCTAATTTAAAAAACGGCCGTAGATAAATTGTATTACACATTTTAAACGTACAGCGTTTGAAGTCGACAGTAAATTATAAAGTTCTTACCTTCAAAGTTTTAAGGTTCAAGCTCAAGGTCAACCTTTCTGTTTACATGATAGCACTGTAAACTGTTATCAATTTCCTATATTTGCTGTAGTAACCTAAGGAAAACTAACTTCCCACCAACATTAACTTCCCATAATGTTACACTTGTATTTGCGAGTATTTTATTGAACAAATAATAAAATACAAAATAGAGTAGGTACGACAAATGTTGTACAATTAGCTGTTTGGCCTAAGTTAAAAAGCTAAGTTTTATTCCGGCTTTAATAAAGTTATATATTACTTTCAAAATTGCTTCATCAATAATTAAAGAACATGTTTAAAATGCGTTCCTGCAAAGATGAAAATCAACTACAATAAGTGTGGTAAGAGTTTTGTAATACAAATGATAAATTGCACTATCTGACTTCGTGCCGACGAATAGACCTTGGAATAGGTTACCAAATAAATTTATAATTATGACTGCCGGTATTCAAGTTATGATTTAAAATTAGGAATTGCCCTTTAATCTTTTTTAGCTGACTCGGTATTTACCTTTTTACCTTTGTTAGCTCACTACCTAACATATTGATTAAAACCTAACTAAACATTGAACATGAGCAACTAAATTCAGATTTGACAATAGGATGGAAAGTCTTCATGTGTCAAAAGTCAAACAATAATTAATTAACAACAAACGTATATGATTTGGTGCAGCCAGAACAAATTATATGATGCAATAAATTAAGGTGATTGCAAACTAAAAAATTATTTGCATAGAAATTCATTTGTATGTATAAGTTATCGTAATTAACTATAAGTTGAATTTGTTTAGCACACGGGGTTTTCATTGTCTCAGAGGGTTTTAGATTTCAAGAACATTGACGTAAAAGTTTACAGTTGTTTTCAAAGTTAGTTCAAGTTGCTTCCGATGATTTTATTTGAATTCTTTAGTTGAAAACAAGCCAACGGATAGCTTGTGGACAAAGTTGAAACTCAATTATGTTTTTCTGAGTTAAAAAATACCTAATTTGCTAACAAATTTGTATTTAATAAATTTTTATCTTATTTAAACGAAGAGTAGTACCAAAGTAAAGAATCTTCGATCTTTATTAATAAAATTGCGCAAAGAGACTATAAACTTATGCAGCCTATAACATACAGAAGTACTAGAATGTACAATATATTGGAAATAAAAGTGCTTGGAACTATGTATTTGACATAATAGTGTTTATTTACAAAAAAATAATTAGTTTTGTTAAGTATTAAACGTTGGTTTAAAAGTGTGTGTCTGTAAAAAGGGTAGTACACAATATTCACATATATGTATGTAGTTCATATTCTATGGGAAATATACCAATTCAATATTTTTATATGAACATGATCAGATTTAATATACTGAACCACTTAACCTAAATGAACATTATAATGAATTACTTACCGGTTTGGCGCGAAAACTGGCACAGCTGACTGACCTAGGGCACAGCACTAGCACTGACGACTGCCTCAACACAACAATGAAACATCTGTTATGAATGAATCAGCTGATAGAAGATAGCAGCGCTGCGCCGAGCATCGTGGTGAACTTGCAAACTAACAGGGTGCATTGTCCTACCCTGAACTTTTTTATTAATTATGATTGTGGGTTATTGATCATGTTTATTTGTAATTTTGACCGTTTTCACTTCCTTTTCACTTGTTTGAATATTCTCACATACAGTTCTAACATAAAGCATTGTATAAAGCATTATTTTTTACCTAAAACCGTTTTTTAAACTAGCTTTTTTAATTCAGTTTTTGAATTGAAAAGATTCACTTTACAACAATGTTTACTTAACAACGGTTTAACTTCCAAACCAACTGGAGTAATGGACCAATGAGGTTCAAGGATTGAGATAAAGAAGTAAAATAGTAATGCTTTGAACTTTGAAGTTCAACTAATCAGCTGTTAAGAACAATTTAATTGTTAATGAGTAGGGCAATTAATGTTTGGTACAATGATTTGTATCACTGCCTGTGGCACTGAGAGGTTATAAACAAAAACATAACCTCTCTTATAAGTTATGAGTATGAGTAGTGATTGTTAGTAACTAAAAAATTGTCATAGGTAAAGTAGTGTAGTATGCAACTCAAGTAAATCATGTTAACGACACGAGTAAAAATTTAAGGTACGAGTCTTTAACACTATCTTTACGTGATCGTTGTGTAAACTACTATAACAGCATTGTTTTGTTACTTAACAGTACCGGTTTGGACCAATGAGGTTCAAGGATTGAGAGAAAAGAAGTAAAATTGTAATGCTTTGAGAGTAGTAATTGTTAGTACGTAATTAAAAACGATTGTAGGTAAAGTAGTGTACGCAACCACACTGTGGTTACCACAGAAAACATGTGACGCAACTCGCGTAGTTAGCCTTTAAGATGTGAGTTGAAAATTTAAAATTTGAGACTTCTATGTGTAGAAATAGAAGGCTCGACTTTAGATTTTTTATTAGTTTTCTACCAACAATTTTTTTAATACCGGTACAAAACACTATCATTTTACTTTCAAAACAAAAAATTGTCATTTATAATGGACTTGCAAGGATGTTTTGTTGTTTTTCATCCTATAATGGTACATTTTTTACCTAGGTGGGGTAAACATAGAGAGGGACGTTAAGGTCGGGAATAAAGTAGAAACCTTTTTTATAATGAAACAATTCCTTTGATTTTACCAAAGAGCAGATGGACACTGGACAGTTTATTAATAACTAATAATATACATAACAATACATTTGATTGTATTATCATAGATGATTCTTTTTTGAAAGTAAATTGAAAAACATCGAGGTACCCTTATTCTTGACACTATTTCAAAATATGTCAAGATCAAGTTGATATGAAAAGGATAAAGAGTAAATGTCTTGAGATTTATAATGAGATTTGGCTGTCTCTTTAACAAGAGTATGTCTGTCATTTTTAACAAGCTCATGTTTAGACATCTTTATTATCTCAGCTTACATTATAAACATGTTCAGACTTGTTTCTCTAGCTGCACATGATATACAGAAATTTGGAATGTTGCACCCAAATATTAACAATACCTCTACCGCCGCAGCAAAGCTGCAGAATAAGTGAATTTCAACTTGCCTGATTGAATTTACACTAACATGTGTCCTTAAAAATTATCACATTTATTCCCTATTTAAATAGAAATTAGTTTAACGAGTTCTTAGTTTTGCTGCAACAGGGAGGGTAAAATAGTGGTTATTTTTGTAAAATGTTAATAGTTAAGTGAGAAATAAATGCATTTTCCAAATTTGATTAAATTATGTTTATAAAAAAGCAAACTACAACAGTTTACTTATTCTCCATTGAAGAATAAAATTAGAATTTTAAATTTACAATTTTTTGGAATTTTCTCCGTTACCATTAGGCGAATTATAATGCTTCAATATACTATTTTTTCCTTTTTTAAGCTCTACGAAAATTGTTTGGAAAGAAATTGCTAAATTCTATATTTTTGGGTCAAAAATAGGAAAAACTAATTTTTACCCCATAAAACCCACCATAAACCCTTTTCCCATTACCCGATCATGCTGGTTTGCAAACTCCTTCGAATAAATATAGGTTTACACGTTTATACAAAATTTCATCTAAATCGGATAATTTTCGCTCGAGTTATCATGCTAACAGACACACTCCTAAACTGGAACACACTTATAAATTTTTACGGATACCGTAGTGTTTTTGGCCTCTAGAGACCTCAAAACAAAAAATAATATCGGTCCAGGGTCCAGGTCTTACCATTTGTACTTCGGTATAATAGCTTATTCCCTATATGGGAAATTCGCTACAATGGGTCAATGTAAAGCCAAATTTGATGATATTTTCATTTGAAATAAACCATGCAATAACATTAATTACAATTATATTTTAGATGAGTGAAAATGTGTGTTCCTGCCATTGGCATGCTTATATTATCGACTATATAGTTTGGATAGTTTTAATAGGTACTCTAAGTTGTTTTATTTGTTTAATATTTCTATAATATTCAAGTTCATCTTTATAAGATTGTAAGCAATAAATTGAGTCAATAGTGATCAAGTTAATTTATTTAAAATCCATGTTTGTAGCCCTTGAGCTGTTGGACACAAGACTAAATTACCAACCCAATCCCTTCACAGCTCAACAAAATTTGTTAACTTAGGACATGTTTTGCTGTTAAAACACCATTGTCAGCTTCAAGTACTTGGTAGATTTGATCACTGTATGGCAAAACAAAATTACGATAAAATAATATTTGAACAAGAGCAGTCTGTCCCTTGCTTAACCCTGTGGTCGGTTAACTTTTGTTAAAAGAACAGACCTGTTTAAAAATGTTTATTTTTTGAAATTTTATCATAATTTTGTTTGTGCCCTACATTGTTTACCTTTTTCTTTTGGTAATACAACTGATCAACTCTAAAAAACCTACCTGAAGCTGACGATTGTGTTTTAACACCAAAACATGTCCTAAATTGACATATTTTGTCAAGCTGTGGCGAGATTACGTAAGCCTTATTTTTTTTTACACAACAATTTAATACTTATGTACTTTATACATATTTTATGTGTTTAAAACCTCTCGACTATGGACACTTTTGTGAAGTAGACAATCCATTCTCATGTTAAAGTTGTAACCATTTAAAATAAAAGTAACTTAATTTAATTTAGCCACTACCAAGAGTGTACTGCCATAGACAAATATAATTAAATATAGACTGACAGCAGTGCTGCGGTTAGCATAAGTTCTGGCGACCACCGCTTGGAGTTCCGTGTAATTACGTTGCATGGCACAGCGGTCCCAGTGGTGGACGCCAGAACTTATGCTAACCTCAGCACTGCTGTCAGTCTATATTTAGTTTTATTTGTCTTTGGTAAACCTAATGTTTTCTTTCTTACACACTAACTTTTAGACATGGAAAGCTAAAGATCCCCTTTTCATTATTTACTCCACTAATGAATTTCGTCTGTATATTTTTCAACTGTAGCCACATTTATGTCCCCAAAAACTATCATACTGTAGCAAGTAAACCTATCTGGTAGCACATAAACTAATAGTCCTCTTTGAGCAAAAAAACTTTTACAGCTGGTCCATGTAGATGGGATGTCTACTTCAGTTTCTCAATTCAATGATAAAATACATCAACTCGTCAAAATCACAATTTTTATTGTTTGTACTTTATCTTTAAACAATAACATTAACAATACATTACATTACATTACGTGGTGGTTGATACTTCATGATAATGATAATGGTGATAAGTATCACAGTCATAAATTGTAAACTTAAGACTACATTTACACAAAAATGTTTATGAAAACATATTCTTGATGTCTTAACTGTTAGACAGGAACGTGAGTTTTTATTACAGCAGGTTGGCCTGCATGTTACAATCTGTTCAACATTCCTAGAGCTATGAAGCTATCAAGAAGGCTCTGTAGATTGGGCTTTTTTCAGTTTTGTTTTTGAGCTCAACAAATACTCGACACTCCAAGAAACTATACAAATCAAGAGCATAACTGACTGAGCGTGAAGACATATGGAGAAACTGCCTGTAAAGTCTCTAATCCAACCTAGAAAATACAGTAAATTGTAAGTGATTTTGCAACAAATGTACATGTTTTTTTAACTTAATTGGTTTATGTTATATTTTTGTTAGGTACTGACTTATCTGACAGAACAAAATAATTATTTCAGGGATTGTTTGTCACTTTCCCTCAATTGGTGAAATAGTTTCACAAAACTGATACCAGAGCTGCACCACCCGAGCTGATACCTCGCTCATTTTCCAACCTCGGCTTCGCCTTGATCGTAAAACTTGTGCTCGGGTCGAATAGAGTCACTTTAGGCCCTAGTGATGAAATATACTAGGTTTTTCAAATATTTTACAATACTAGTGCACCTGTTGCTCGAATTCGAGCAATTGCAAAATATTAAAGGCGTTTTTTTTTTTTTTTTTAATAACAGTCACAATTTCCGTTGACTTGAAAGAGTCAACTCAAAGATAATGTAATCAATCACTCCACTCCAGTTATCGAAACTGGAAACGAACTCACCCTGAAAACGAACACTCTTGTGTATCATGAGTTTACTATGAGTAGTTGTAATTAATACAAATTATTCGTCTGTTTAAGTAAACAAAATCTTTTCTTCATAAGAAATACATTGGGATTTTGATGGCCTGTGGAGCAAAGCCCAAAGACTTTTATAACAGGAATTTGTGAAAGGGGGCGTCTACACAAAAAATACTTAATTTTGACACCTCGTTTGTAAAAATCCGTCAATTATTAACGGAGGAGTAGTGTTTTGTAGAAATTGCCTTAACGTATTATATATAAGGATAATGTATATTTATTTAGATAGTAATTATTATCTTACCAGCTAAAGGTCCCAGGAAGACCACAAATATTCCCTTGGAGACCATAAATAGACCATAGGCTGAGGCTAACTTTTCTCTAACCACAGATTCAGATATGACCAGTGGGAAATTGATCAAAGCGAATCCACGAAAGAATCCGTGAATCAAAATAGTTATGATCAAGTTCCTCCATGAAGTCTGCTCTGCTAGAACTGAGAAACAAATTTAAGTTAGGTATACCTCCTAGAGAGTTAAGTTAGTTTAAGTTACCTTCGATGATATAACCAGCATGAAGAAATCACCTAGCTTTTTGCAAAACTAATATCCAATTTTATTTCTGAGTTCCAAACCAATATATTTTTTTATCATTCAAAACAAAACTATTTGAATCTGAAATCTTGGTTGTTTTCTAATGTACATTGTTTTTAATTGGACAAGTTAAAGGTAAATTCATCAGGGATAAGAAGATTTAGGTATTTTTTATACATTGTGGAATAATGAACTCGTTACCAAAAATAAATCACATCAAAGAGAAAGAATTTAAATGTAGATTTTGGTATGTGGATTTGGCTCTCATTGTTGGATATATAAAAATAGATTTAAAAGTGCATTTATATAATTTTTGATAAAGTTATATCATGTTTGATAAACTAATCAAATAAATGTGCAAATTATTAACCATCTATGTACTGGTACATGTCCAGCAAGCATGATGCTTGATTTATTTTGTCAATCATATTTTGTGTACACAAGACTTAAGCTGAATCTGGATGAATCTGAGATTTACCTGATCGTGCGATCATCACAAAAACCAATCCAACGGCCAGAGTGCTCCTACGAGTGAATGGAAGCTTGTCAAAGATCGGAGGGATGAGAAGACGAGCAGAGATATCCGAGACCGCCATCAGACTCAGGGCCTGAGCCGTGTCAGCCTTAGTGTAGCCAAGATTGGCCATGAAGAACGGAATCACAAGTTTGAAGTTTATCTCCGCCAGATAGGCCATGGAAAGGCCGAACAGAGTGTTCAGAAATGAGAGATCCAAGAGCAAATCCAGGTCCATAATGCTGACCAACTTCTGCCAGCACCCATCATTAGATGATTTGCTTTTATTGGTTGTCTCTTTGTTTATCTCATTTTCAATGCTTAGCCTGAGAGATGCCTCCGCATCGTCATTGATACTTGAATGGGATTTGTGAAGGTGGTTTGCTTTGATTTCTCCCTGAAAAATATCATTGAATTAGAACTTTTTATCTCTAGTTACCGGTAGCAGTTTCAAGGGGGGGGGGGGACTTCAGGCACTAAAGCCCCCATTGGACTCTGGAAAAATAAATGTAAACATACATTTCACCCAAAAACCCTAACGGTTGTTTTTAGACACAGTTCTTGACCTAAAACATGGCTTTAGATACTTGTACTGCTTTAGAAATACCAAATTTTGCGGAGAGGACCCCTGCATCTCCTTCTTTTTGGGGCTTGTAGAACACTCCCTGGTACAGTCCCCCTCCCCTTGACAAGTTCCTAGGACTGCAACTGCTGGTTATATTTGGGAATTCGAATTCAAAAACATTATCTAACCAATTTAATATTGGCAAAAATGTTTTTAAACTTTAGTTAATCTTAGCGTCAGAATAATTAGGCCTAATAATCTTCATGCTTTATCTATGAGTAAGAAATTTAAAATCATTTGTGACAGATAATCTTATCCTTATTATATCTTGGTCCTAGAGAAATTACTTTATCACAAAACTGATAAAAACACTCCATTTTCAAGGATGCTATGATTGAGTTGAATTGCCCTGAAGATATATTGTTGCAGTATGTTAGAAATGTATGCTAGTATTGTTGTCAGAGTCCAATAACGCATTCATCTCCTAATGACCAAAATGAGTCACCTTTGAGTATGGAAGCATACAATTTCCCTTATACTCCAATTGTAAAGAGGAGTACATGAAATGAAATGGCACATTAAGGGTAAAGACAAAATGGTACCTATGACACAGTTTGTGCCTGGTTTTAGGGACATAGCTATCGCAAGATACCATAGTACCTGTTTCCGTTCATGTACAAGCTCCTCCTCTTCTTCTACAATGACAGTTTTCAAATGCCACTTGACCGGTTGCAGCAGACATGAGCCAACCACGGCGTTGAGTCCCAGCGCTCCCATGATCATCATGGTGCCATGAAACCCATACTCGTTCAGCAGTCTGCTCACCACCTGAGGTATCAGCATGAAGCCGAGCCCGGTCCCCGCCATCGCTAGACCAAACGCTTGGCCTCGCCGCTTCACAAAGTAGCTGTTCAAGGCAACAAAGACCGCAGTGGAAGACAGTCCAAAACCAACGCCTGGTGAACACACCTGTTAATTGTTTATGATGGATTTTTGATCCTGAGTTAAGATATTTTGCAATATTTTGAATCCAAAAGGCTACTATCAGCCGTACATGACAAACATATATATATTGTTTACAGAACTCTAAGAAAACTGCTGATATACCATAACAACCTGGGAGTCAAATGATTGAGGGTTTGAATCCCGTATTGGTCAGGTCGGGTGCGCAACTCATGGGGGGATCACCTATCTGTGGTAGAGCTAGGTGGCTAGGCCCGAGTGTAGGGTGAATAATAATATTGGCTACGACCTTTTTTAAACTATCCGTTTTGGCTCAGTCTTAGAATTGAAAACATTCACTTAACAACAGTGTTTTACATATAAGGATAATTTATCAAATAAATTACATCCTTCTTCCACAAGCAAGCTGCTGAACACAGAGGATTCAACAAGACACAATTTTGTCAAAACTGAAAAAATGTTCTAATTAAAACAACACAATAATTTTGATCTTGATCAGTAAATGATTTCTTAGTATTGATGATATTGAGTTTTCAATGTCACAATGGAAATTTTTTTTCGAATTTTTAGAATCAAATAGCTAACAGACCAATGAGGTTCAAGGATTGAAAAAAAAGAAGTAAAATTGTAATGCTTCGAACATCAAGTAATCAGCTGTTTACCAATTGAATTGTTAATCTCGGTGCAATTAGTGTTTGGTACAAATGGTACAATGAGTTTTTGCATCACTGTCAGTGGCAAAGAGTGGTTATAAACAAAATCATAACCTCTCATAGAAGTTATGAGTAGTGATTGTTAGTAATTAAAAACGGTTTGTAAAGTAGTGTACGGGTAAATAGTCTTAACGACACTATCTTTACGCAATCGTTGCATAAACTACTATAATATGAAATTTTTTTTAGGACTAACATGCATGATTAAATAAATCAATAGTTCCTGGGACTCATAGGTGAACTAAAACACTGCTTTGTTCAAATAGCTTTAACTCAACATAATGAAAGAAAACACTCTTGTCCCGTATACAGTACACAATTATGACGTCCAGAATTTCAATTAGTTCCATAGTGGAATAAGTAAAGGTTTGGTTGTCATTGTTTTTTTTACTCACCTCCAACCAAGCTGTATGTGAGCAGAATGTGAGTCATGCTAGTAGCTGAAGCAGCTGTTATCAGACCTAGACTGCTCAGGATTGCTCCAAGGATACCAACTTTGCGGTATGAGTAGTTCTTCAAGAGTGGACCCATAAGAAATCCTAAAAATAAAACCTTGGTAAAAAAATATTTTTTTTCCTTGTTATTGGAATAGATAAGTATTGAGTACAAGATTTTTTTAAATATGTCTAAAAATATTAGGTTAAAAAAACCCCAAAAAAATTCTCTTTGTTACCTGAAAAGTTGTTGGTGGCATCGCGAGCACTCATGATAAAGGCTGCACCAGTTGTTGCTACCCCAAGTTCCTTAAGAGTATCGCCAAACAGCAAACCAAAAGATGGCTCTACGGCTCGGGTGCAGAGCTATGAAGAATATTAAATTTATGTTTTATTATTGTAGGTACTTGATATTTCACATTGTCTATAATTATATAGAGAACATTATATTTATAGATTTTGAAGTAGGCATCCTCCTACCTGTATGCTGAAGCAGTTGTTTAAAGAGATAATATCATAATTTTGAGATAGAAATGCAACTAAAAAGGCATATTTTATTTTAACCCACATACCACAAGGATGAGTAAGATACCTCATAGTTGGATGATTAGTTTAAGATTTTATTTATATGACGGTGTGAGGTAAATTTGGCAAACATATGGGTGTTGAATGGATAAGATTACTTGGCTTTTTATTACCAAGTTCAGCTACTTTGTTTGCCAAGACATCTATTGCAAATCCACCAATGACCATGGTCCAGTTTTGATACATCAAAAAGCTACTATGACTTTTCAAAAGATCAAACCAACAGCAATTTTGGTGGTATGAGTCTAATTAAAGTAAAGTTGTGAAAAAATATACACGTGTGAAAATATGTCTTACGTTGATGAGACCTGATCCCAGTATGATTATCCAGCCCCATCCTCCGTCCGGGGCAATTTTATTAGGTTTTTGTTGCAGAGGCATCTCCGAGTCATTGGTTTTTCACATCAACATGTCTATGCTACGCTGTATCTAGTCATAACCTGTAAAAATACAAAACACTTCAGTAAAAAGTATATTATGGTTTTGGTCAACTCCTTGAGTCCAACTAATACATCTGTTCGTCTAATGTATCAAATACAAGACTGTAATAAAACTTCCACAATCAGCCCTCCAGGCAAGGATAATCCTATATCAGCTGATAACAAACAGATAACTATACCTGACATCTGCTGCAAACTGTGAGTCACTCAATAGTCAAGTTGAGAACTATAGTTCGGCCGCTTAGAAAACGACCATTTGCGCTTCCTAATGCTAAACCAATGCTGGAGGAGGTCGCTTTCTAAGCGGCCGAACTATATTTTGTTTGCCCCCCAAATAAGGCATTTTGCTGCAGTTTGCTTATCAAGGTATTTAAAATTTATAGCTAATTAATAATCTAATTAAGTAGTGACCAAATAAGTGACAAATAAATAAATTAAGTAAATTAAGTAGTATAGTCAAAATAAAAAAGAAATAGAAAAAGAAAGATCTTCAGATTGCTATGATTGAATCAAAAGTGGCATTGCAACTCCAGTTCTAGTCAAGCTATTTAATCTTGGAATGGATAGTGTTTTTGTTTCAGTTTCTATATTTTCCCTCTTGCCTTATACAGCTGGCAGGTTAAAAGGTTTACCTGCACAATCTGTATTGTTTGACGATGAGGTAAAAAATCAATTTGTATCCAACTATCCAATTATAAATATACTGTATATTGAGAATGGTCAAACTATTTTTAGTATGTTAAATGTAAAAAAAAATATTTTTAGTAATTTTGCTGAAGATTAATCAAAACTGTTGACACCAAATTGCCTCTAGTATTTTCAATTTTCACTTTCGAAGACCAAATAAGCCTTCTATATTTATTCCATCGGAAGAGAAATGAGAAATGTAAAAGTCCACAAGAAAGTATCAGTATCACAGTTATAGTTGTTCGGCTCCTATGGTAGAATACTTATTTTTATAACCTTACCTTAACTTCGAATAACACTGGTCATAGGAATGAATACTGAGTGACAATAGCTAAACTAAGGTCTCTGTGTCCACTACTGCCTCATTCACTGTAGAGCAAGCCCTGGCCTTGTCCTTGCTAACTGATTTAATCATGTTGTTTATGCAGGCTTGTTTGCAAAAAACCGGTTCAACAGCTGGTGGCTGAAAGTTGAAGTTGGTTAAGATGAAAGTCAAGTGCCGCCTGTTGCACAATAGTAACAATATTGCCTACCACTAAATTGTTGTAGCATTGTAGCATTTAAAATCACAGAGTAGTAAATCACAGAGTAGTAAAATCACAGAGTAGTAAACCTTAAGTCAAATAAAGCAAGGATTAGTTTTAAACATTGTCTAATTATAGTTGTTAACTTATGTTACTTGTTAATCAATCAAAAATTAATAATAAATTGTTGGGGATTTGAAACTTGGCTATGTTCGTGAGCTGTCCTTGAACATTGGAATTGTAATAAAATAACAGCTGATCTTAGTCCATAGATGTATTAATCGTTCACCTGCATTCAGGTTAAAATACCCAGCATTATATCCCTGCCTTGATGTAACAATAATAATGGTAAATGATTACTATATTTAAAACTGGAGATTTCTAGTGGTTTTGCTACTGTTCTTTTCCAAAATAACAAAGTTAAAATAGTTACAAAGATGAAGGTATAACAGGTTTTAGATACCCATAGTATACATTAACCTTTATTTGAACTTTAAAATAGATGTAACATACATATTTGGATTAAATTTTGACAAGATTACATACTTTTCTTTGTTTGAAGTTCATTGTTGGTGATGGTAAGTTAATGTTGTTCAAAGGTTCATTGCGGACATTTTCCATCACGATGGTAAAAAACTATACACAACGTTACGGGATCTGGAATCTGGTCCCGTCCTCAGGTGAAAAAAAACATAACTAACACATTATTTGCATGTTGTATCATGACTTGACTGCTATACAGTGCATATTTTTTTACCACTACCCTTTGTAGTGTATTCCAACTTAGGTTGGGCGTTTGTGTATTGTTATAGTTGTAATGTGTAGGTTAAGTTTTTTTTCACCTGAGGACGGGATCAGATTCTAGATCCCGAAACGTTATGTATTGTTTTTTACCATCCTGATGGAAAATGTCCGCAATAAATCTTTGAACATTACACTTTTCCATTGAAGTCAATTAATTGTTTTAACCCTTTCAATGCTATATTTTTTTTATAATTTTCCGAAAAATGCTAGAGTTGTTTACTTATTTTGTATGAAAAGTGCTAGGCTTGCCACGGGGGCAAAGTCTAGTGTGGGAGAAAAAATATCAATAAAAAAAAATATTTCATCTTAAAAGTGCTAAAGAAACAATATATTGGGCCTCCATCGTATGGGGAATCGAAAGAAACAATCGCTGTTTCGAAACAACAACTGAGTCAACTGATATTCCCATTTAAACTCTCACTGTCGCATCGTAAGTCCTGCCGGCACGGTATATCGTCGCTTCGGATGAAACGCGAACAATGATATATCATTCTATAGCACTTTTCAGGAAAAATACACACAACAAAACATTCAGGGCCGTATTTAGAATCGATGAGGCCCAACTAAATTCTGAATTTGAAGGTTGGAACTACAGGGTTTAGTTAGTAATACTCGTGGTAGCCTATTGCTTCAACTCGATGAATTTGTTTCCAACCATCCGATCTACAAAAAGACCTAGGAGACTTGCTAACAAAAGTCTTTTCATTTTTTTGATATCATGAAATATATCTATAAGTATAAATAGTCCAGGGGCAAACTGCACATATCCAGCTTCCGTGGGATTTTTTGTGAAGGGAATGTGTGACTATGTGGAATCTCTTTATGATATGTCACATAATGGTGTAGTACCGGGTGTTTACCCTCAAATTGCGGGGTTTGGTTTTTATGACGTCGTAAATCCAAGATGGCCGCCATGTGTGACATCCATTCATGAAATTAATAATGACTCTTTTCAGAGTAAAATAATCGAATTTTAATTTACACCATTGAATTCAGCTCTAAAAATCAAACAATTTGGTGTTTTGAATCATTGCTCTATGACCATTGGTTACCGAGATATTAAAGGCGGAAATCGCAGAACATGGTCCCCTTGCTATCCTTATGGGGAAAAAATAAAATTGTATATCTAGCTTATTACTCAGCATATCTTAATAATAATTGGTATGTGGCTTCATTTAGTAGAGTTCTACTTGATTATGGCCTAAAATCCCCCATTTTTACATTTCCGTGGCAGCAAACCTGCATACTAACTTCCAATGTTATTCTTAAGGACAATTTTTTGCATGCTTGTTCATGAACATACTTTGAGAAGTGATGATGTGTGGCTCCATTTTAATTATTTATTGAAGCATTTGCAATTCGTTGAGTATACAGGTCAGCTGCTACGGGGGTATTGTATCTATAAAAAATCTCACAAATTATAGGTATAAAATAAAGTAAAATAGACTATATGTAATTTCATACTGGTCATATACTAGGTCATATGTAATTTCGTGTGATTGTATGATTGGTGGTGATAGATAGGTGACATATAGAATCGTGTACTACCGGGTGTTTTGTATGAAAGTGTGGCCTAGCTGGTGTTTTTGGCCCGCCGTCTTGGATCCACCATATTGGATATTAATATAATTTTTTTAATGTAATGCTGGTGTCGTGACTCATCATTATAAACTATATGTGTTTACGCTAATTTAATTCCGAAAACCGTGTAAATATCGTCTTTCGTTTCGAAGATATATTGAAATGAAAACTCCCCCCCATACATTTTTTACGGACGTTTCGTACTTTGATAATTTTTCAGATTATTTTTCTCATATCCAGTTCTTATTATCGCTTGCAATTCGTTATAGTCTTAAAGTATTCAGTGATGTAAGGGCTTTTATTTAAGCTATCGATCATTAAAATCTGACGAGTTATAGTTGAGCTATGAACCGCAACACAATATTAAATTTAACTTTTTCCAAATCAGTTTTTATTAGAAGATTTATATCTCGGGTTGTTAATACGTCATACGGTTCATTCTGGTCTCAAATTACTCAGTAAATGTTTGGTTTAAAATTTTATTAATCACTAAATGAAATCTGACTAATTGAAAATGAGTCATGGGCCTTTATTTAACATTAATAATCATTTTTATTTTGAAATTTGTCTTTGGTTAAAGCAATTAAAGACATACAGGGCTGGTCATCAGGGTTACAACATTTGTTTGGTGTAAGTACAAAGTAAATGATGTGTGATGAGGCATATAAAACTAAGCGGTTCCACGTCTAAAAATTGTAACATTGATGACCAGCCCTGTATGTCTTAAACCAAAGAAAGTTTTGGACATAAAAATAATTTAATGTTAAATTATTTATTGGTTCATGACTCATTTTAAAATAACTCAGTCAGATTTCATTTAGTGATTAATAAAATGTAAAATCAAACATTAGACAAGTAATTTGAGACCAGGAAGAACTTAGTGACGTATTAACAACCCGAGATATAAATCTTAATTAATTAATAACAACAGATTTGTAATAAGTTAAATTTAATATTGTGTTAGGGCTCGTAGCTCGACTCTAACGCTCTAACTCGACCGAATTTAAAGATCAACAGCTCAAATGAAAGCTCATACATCACTGAATATTTTAAGACTAGAACGAACTGAAAGCTTTAATAGGAACTGGAGATATAAGAAAAATAATCTTAAAAATGTTCAAAGTACGAAACGTCCGTAAGAAATGTATGGGGGAGAGTTTTTATTTGAATATATCTTCCAAACAAAAAATATATTTCAAAACATATTTCAGCATTGAAATCAGCGTGAAAATCTAGTTCATAATGATGTGTTACAACACTAGCATTGAATAAAAAAAGTTATTAATATCCAAAATGGCGGATCCAAGATGGCGGCCAAAAACACCAGCTTGGCCAGACTTTCAGACAAAATACTCGGTAGTACACGGTTCTACATGTTCATGTCCATTACCTATCGCCAACAATCATACAATTGCTTAATTCAAAATCCTACAAAATTACATATGCCTCACAACTATAGTCTAATTTATTTTATTTTCTAATACCTGTAATTTGTTTATAGCATACCTACCCGTAGCAGCAGACCTGTATACTCAACGAATTGCAAATGCGTCAATAAATAATTAAAATGGGGCCACTCATTAACATTTCTCAACACGTATGTTCATAAACAAGCATGCAAAAAATTGTCTGTAAGAATAACATTAGAAGTTAGTATGCAGGTTTGCTGCCACGGAAATGTAAAAATGGGGGATTTTAGGCCATAATCAAGTAGATTTCTACTAAATGAAGCCACATACCAATTATTATTAAGATATGCTGAGTAATAAGCTAGATATACAATTTTATTTTTTCCCCATAAGGATAGCATGGGGACCATGTTCTGTGATTTCCGCCTTCAATATCTCGGTAACCAATGGTCATAGAGCAATGATTCAAAACACCAAATTGTTTGATTTTTGAGCTGAATTCAATGGTTTAAATTAAAATTCGATTATTTTACTCTGAAAAGAGTCATTATTAATTTCATGAATGGATGTCACACATGGCGGCCATCTTGGATTTACGACGTCATAAAAACCAAACCCCGCAATTTGAGGGTAAACACCCGGTACTACACCATTATGTGACATATAATAAAGAGATTCCACATAGTCACACATTCCCTTCACAAAAAATCCCACGGAATACAGTTTGCCCCCCGACTAAAAAGAGGATGTTTGTATATATATTTGATTGTTTGTTTGTTTGTTTGTTTGGCAGTGATAAACTCAGACACCGCTGAACCGATTGCCACGAAACTTGGTACATACGTGTAGAATGTCATGGAATAGGTTTATACACCATCAATTTCGTGATCCGTCCAATCGGCTCCGCCCCAGTGGCTCTGGAGTTTCCCATGTTAACCTTATGAGAAATTTAATTAATGAATCTTAACAGCTGTTTCAATTAAACAAGTTGGTTCTGTTCTATGATGTTCAATAGCATTAAAGTTACAAGGATTACCAACAGGGTGCAGCACTATTATTTCTTTTACATTTATGACAACAGCTAATTTGCAACCAAAAGGTGAGTGAGCGTAGCGAAAGAACTTCAACCTGGAGGCAAGTTAGCGTAGCGAACGAGCTAACCTGAAGGCAAGTGAGCGTAGCGAACGAGCTCCAACCTAAAGGTGAGTGAGCGTAGCGAACGAGCTCCAACTTAAAGGTGAGTGAGCGTAGCGAACGAACTTCAACCAGGACGTGATTGAGCCATGCGAACGAGATCATCTTGAAAATTAAGAAGTTAAACGGGGCAAAGCCCGCGGGATTATAAATAGTCAAAGGCAAGACAACGTCTGCCGGGTTCAGCTAGTTGTATATATATTTTTGATAATCATAAATGTCTGCTACGGCCGCGGAGAAATAGTTATCTCGCGGGAGCGTGGAGACATCCTCTTTGTCTCCTTAGATTATGACGAAATCATGAAGATCTTCTGATTTTGTGGGGACATGTTCCCGCCGTCTCGATAATCTTGGACATCATACCCACTCAAGTGAATGATTAGTGGCAACTCCTAGGTTAACTGTGAAATAGTGAAGATAACAAATAAATAAACAAATTAACAAGATATTTTGATTTCAACGTCTCCCTCAATCGCGGCAAAATTGATTATCGGTGAAATAAATTTAAAAAAAATTGAGGCCCCCTCCTAGACCGAGGCCCCCGGCAACCACCGTGACCGCCGTTAGGGAAATACGGCCCTGAAACCATTTAAGAGGGAAAAGCAACTCTGCATTTAAAATTAAATACTGTCTTTTATTTAACAAAATATATTAATTGATATTAAATGCTTACTTCAAATGTCTATTAAATTCATTTTAAATTTCCATGGACATACAAAGTAAAAAATACCCCCGCCGTAGCAAACCTGCAGACTAAGCGAATTTCAACTCGTCTTATTACATTTTTGCTCAAATATTTCCATGAATAAGACATATTTTTATCCCCTATTTAAATAACATTAGATTTAACGAGTGCTTAGGTTTGCTGCTACGGGAAAGGTAAAAAGTGTTTTTTGACTATATGTCAATAGTATAGGATGAAATAAATAAATTTGCCAAATTTTATCAATATATATCCATAAACAAGTAAACTACAACAATTTTCATTTTCTCCATAAGAATAACATGGGAATTTTAAATTACACTATTTTTTAATTTTCTCCGTGACCGTTAGGCATACAACAGCGCTTCAATATACTAAATTATTTATTTTTTTAAGCTCTACAAAACGGTTTAAAAAGAAATTGCAAAATTTTTTATTTTTAGGGTCAAAAATGGGAAAACCCCATTTTTACCCCATAATACCCCCCCGTAAACCCCCGTTCCCATAGTCCGATCATGCTGCTTCGCGAACTCGTTTGAATAAACGTAGGTTTACACGTTTATACCAAATTTCATCGAAATCGGATCATTTTTGCTCGAGTTATCGCGCTAACGGACACATATATAAATATATATATATAAATATATATATATAAATATATATATATATATATATATATATAAATATATATATATAAATATATATATATATATAAATATATATATATATAAATATATATATATATAAATATATATATATAAATATATATATATATATATATATTATTTTCTTGCATAATAAATATATATATATGAATTTGAACGATTAGTGTTTTTGGCCTCTGGGGACATCAAAATGAAAAAGTAAATCGGTCCCGCGCCCAGGTCTTACCATGAGACCTACGGTAATAGCTACTTCCCTATAGGGAAATTCGCTAACAAACACAATTTTGCACAGGCAGGCCTACTGTACTGATCACTCCAGTTTCATACCATATTTTATATTTTAATACTAAGTACGAGCATAGAGAAAATAAATTAGGCCTATAGTGTAGTTACATAGCTTTTACGCCGTAAAACCATGGCGCTCCCAGCGGTGGACGACAGAACCTATGCTAATCGCAGCACGTCTGTGAGTCTTTAATTATTTTTGTCTATTAAATTTGTTCTAAGTACTGTATCTAAGTACCAGTTTAGAATACATAATAGTGTAACTAGTCTGTGTGTAAAATATTAGACTACAGTTTAATATTTTGTTAAACCCTTACCCATTTTGTTACCTTACCCATGAACTAATCTAATGTTTCACATTGGCAAAAAAACTTACATTTGAAACAGGTATCCAATAAATCTTGGTTTCGCCCAGTAATGTAAACTTTCAGTCTGACCTCAGACTAACACAACAACACAACTAACTAACTGATGTTGGACTATCTAATTTTCCTGTCCATGAACTTATCAACACACTGATAATCTGACTAACAGTTTATAATTAACACAAATTCAGCAGTGACGATTTTGAAACTTTATGCAACTTTGAACTTCACAACCTGATAATAATATGGTACTGTAGTTGATTAAAATAATCAAAAATTTTCTAAATACATATTTTTGAAAATGAAGATAGAAAAAAACTGTCATCACTCCTGTATTTGAAAAATTGCTCATTTCTGTGCAGCTGAGCTTTACTAAAATCATATTTTCCAATCCTTCAAAACAGATGTTAGCTGCCCTAAAGGTCACTTTTCCTGTCCCAAACAAACTGATGGTTTTCCTCCCAAACAAACAAAGTTCCCGTTTAGCTTAAAAGGGATTAATGGATATGTATTATATTTTTTACGAGAAAGCTAAGTAGTACAGATTCGTTAAACCTAATTTTACTAAACAGAGAAGTAATATCTGATACGTTTAAAGAAATATTTTGGTGAAAATCCATAAATAAGGCAAATAAATAAATAAGGCAATGGAAATTTACTTAGTCCACAGCCACAGGATTGCTGCAGTAGGGGGGGAAGTATTCAAAAGTCCATGTGAATAAATATTGGCAATTAAAAACGTTCAGCTATATGACTTACTTCCGTTTAAACTAATAAGATATTGTCCTCATATCACATGGCTTGTTTGCACATTGACAATTCATTCTGCTGTGGTCTGTTATATGTTTTCATGTTAGTAATTTTAAAATGTTACACATTTTACCAGGAACCAGTTTATTGATTGATATTTTGAACCAATTAGTGGTGATTATTTATCCTATGCATGTTGTGTATATTTTGTTTTCATTGTGAAGAACATAATAAAGTAGGTAGGTAAATTAATTCCCCACAAGTAAGGGTTTTTTCACATCCTCTTTACTTTTTTATGAGTACGTACTAAAATCAATCCAGATTTTCAAAGTAGTTTTTTTACTATTACACATGTATGGTATAACCAAAGTATAAAATTGTATATGATAGACACAAAAATGATGATCAAAGGATGTAATAAAATGATTCAGTCAGATTGTATCTTTTCAAATGATAAGATGACATGGTTCATAAATTCATGTCTATGACCTCACACCCACTATAAATTACATCATTGACTGTAACAGTGCTTGAATTTTTAAACTTGGCGATGGTCTACAAAAGTTATAAAAGTACAAATGGCTCGGTTATTATTTAACTTATGAATATACATTTAACAATGACATTCTGATTCAATGAAATTATACTTTTTGTCGTCTTGTTGACGTCAGTGATCGAGGGGGGGGGGGCAGTTTTCCAGTTTTGGACACTCAAGTTTCATTGTCATACTGTTCTAAACTATCCTAACCTAACCAACCAAACTTGATGTAACATTTCAATTTCTGTATGATGTTTCCCACATATGGCTTTTCTGTTATCAAAAGGGGTTACTGGAATGAAAATTACAATTACATAGCATCACATTATGCTAGGGGGGGGGGGGGTAGTATTCCAGTCGTGGACACGGCTCCCATATCGATTAGTTGGCAGATTTTGTGACGTTCACCTTGCCCTGGGGGTTGGTTTTCCGGGGGGGGGTCCCCTTCAAATCGACAATATACCTTTGGGTGATTATTTTAGATTTCTTATTTTGCTGATAAAGGGCATCTTATGAAAAAAATTTGAAATTAATAAATTTTCAAATGTAAGCAAAGGCAAAACTACTAATAAACAGTTTAGTTTTAAAAGTCATTGTTGGATTTGTATTAACACTTTTGCCACGTTGTCCATTGAAAATACCACATTCTTTTAGAAGTTGTAGCGTTGTAGCATCTTAGAGTCTGTTTGGGGCCGTGGTTTGAATAGTAATGCAGAGACATTAACAGCGTTCTCTGGGCAGAGCAGAATTATGTTAACTTGCCAACTAAAACTTAATATAGGTACTTAACTGTAATCATTTCTAAGGCAATCGGCAATCGTTAGATTTAAAATAAGATAAAATTATAAGTTTATTATAAGTTTTCTTTTTTTACTCATCAGATACTTTATATGTCAGCAAACTAGCAAACAAATATATGAGCTTGTAAGAGAATGAAACATTGGCAGTTAGTTACAGCTTCATGGTGTTTGAACAATGCTTGGATACTGACTGGATAGCAATAGCAAGACTATTAGAAAAGAACCCATGACGGGTCCAGGGCTATGGCTATTAGCCCTGTGAAGGGTCGACGACCGGGACCGACATTCCCAATTCGATCCCGGATTAAGGTAACGGATATATTTTTGGTTGTTTTGTAGGGATGGGAACTATCGTTCACTCCGGAGTTATTGAGTTGTCGGAACTCGGAACTAGTTCCGCGGAGTAGTTCCAACTCCGTTTACAATTTACAAGAGCGTTGAACACAGGACTTTCGGTGTAGAGTGTTTCCACTCACTCACCAACCATTTTGGTTCATAATAACTAACTAATAAAATAAACAACCAGTTCCAGTCCGTCGTTCCTCTTCGCATCACCTATTGATAGTGATAGTTCCATTCCAGTAAATGTTATTGGTTATTGAACATAGCTCAGTGTGTGTGTGTGTGTATTGAACAAGCGGGATGATTAAGCTAGGCTAGGATAGGATAGGACGATAGTTAGTGGAGAGTGGAGTGAGGAATGGAAGCAGTAGGGCAGTGAGTGACTGACTGAGTCGTTCCAGTCGTATTCTTGTGAATTGTGATGTTAGATGTTCTGCTGCTGACCTCTCACTTCTCACAAGTAATATCAATTACTGGTCTTAATAGCCTACATTCATTTTAAAAAGATTTTCTAAAATTTTAAATGTTTATTTACTACAACAACCTACAATTTATTACAATTGAATCTTAACCAATGACGGTCTATTGACTATCTTTAGTTCCGAGAGGAACTAACTACGCTCCAAGAGCCGGAATTGGACTTGTCGTTCCGGAGTCGGAGTAGTTCGTTCCGGAGTTACTCGAGGCCCAAGTTCAAGTTGGTAGTTGGTGTGTGTCGTGTGAGCAGTGAGCACTGAGCCGAGCACTGAGCACTGAGCTGAGCAGTGAGCAGGTGTCTGTCGTCGTCGTCGGTTCGTTCGGTTCGGTGTCGACTCGACTCACCTACCTGTCAAGCAAATCGGCCGTTGTTATGTTTACAGTTTACATGTCGATTTAGTTTGTGTAAGTTTTAGTGTGCAATATGCAGAGAGAAATCAGAATTGAAGACAAGAGTTTAATCGATTCGAGAGAAATTACTAAAATAATTATCCAAAATGGGTCAGGATTTATTTGGAATGCCGATGGTAATGAATTAGGCCTAAACTTGGTTTCTAATAGTGCCATAAATTATTTAATACTAAAACATAATGTTGGCTATGATTTTTTTTTGTAATAATAAACAAGTACCTATGTTAATAGATGCCTTTTTCAAAACACTAACTTACTTTATAATTACTTAGCTGGAATACAAATTTTATAATGTTTTTGATCTAATCTAATCTAACCTCAAATCACTGTTTCAACTTGTGGATGTTAGCCTAAGATAGTTCATTTTACACTTAAAACAGTATGTTTTCTGTGACAAAACCTTCATGAACGTAAGTTATTGAGCTGAAATTTTATAGAATGTACCGAATTATAGCTTTGTTGTTACTGGATAAGATCAAATGATTTTTAAAGCCGGGTTTACACTATGTAGCAAAACCTGCTGTATAGCAGATTTGTGTAACATCTAGCAATGTTATATAACATTTTCTAGAGGTAGAAAAAGTTACTTTTCAAAAGTGCTATATAACACTGCTAGCAGATCCTGCTATATATAGCAAAAATTTTGCTATCCATCGGGAGTCCGTAAAGATCAAAAGAAATACGTGCTACATCTAACATACGTTTTTGCTCAGCGATCTTTGTTTACAATTGAAGGACTGGGAAGTGTCAGTGCGTGGGATCGGTAGCATTTAAACTTTGAACTGTTCCGTGGACAACCGGCGTTAGGTCATACCTAAAACGTTTTTGAAGCTACCATCACCTTATTTCGCGTTTTAATTATGGATCATTAGCAAGATCGTCATCATTAAGATCCCGTAATAAATCTGCTACACTGTACTTATTTCTTGAAGCAAGAAGAGGTTGAACCTAAAACCTTCGCTTTCGCCTCTGACTTCCTAAAAATCCTAAGATCACCGTGATAGCTACCGCCAGTAGGTCTCTTCGGCGCGACATGTCAATACGGAATACGAATTAAGTTGTGCTACATATAGCATATATAGCACGAGCACCAGAGTCACTAAAATTGTCTGTTTTTATGGCAAAAGTTATATAAGTAGCAATGTTATATAGCAAAAGTTATATAGCAGGTTTTGCTACATAGTGTAAACCTGGCTTAACTCAGAGTGCCATTTATTTTAAAGCCCAATGATCAAGAATAGTTGGGTCCTACGACTGACTTTTCTTAAATTGAACTAGGCCCTAGCGACCCTTCTGATTATCGCAGATCCTATATGTACAACTCCACTAAGTTAGATAAATATATTTTTATAACTCATATTCTCGGTTTTCATTTTATAAGTTACAAGTTACCGGTAAGTTAACTTAGGTGCCTCTAAAAAAATTTTTTATTTTATGACAACTTACTTTACTTTATTTTATTTTTTTCAATTAATCCGTGTACCGGTATCTAAAATGGTAAAAAATTTAACCTATTTGACTGCAAAATTACCCAGAACAGAATGAGATTAGTTGTTCAAATTATTTTTTAAATTTGTCGCCTAAGTATAGGCCTATGTGATGATATTATTTTCTTCCAGGTTGGTTGAAACTTCGGGAAGACCACAGAATTGTTGGTAACCTAACTGGCTGCTTGGTTGGACTTCCGAGGCAGGAAACTTTACAGGGCCTTCCATTGGTCCTGTTGCCAGAGGAAGTAACTTTATTGGTCGAGAAAAAAGTGGCCAGACTCATAGATGATTCAATTCTCACAGAACTTCCACCAGAACAAACTAAAGAGAGATACATTTCATACAAGGAACAGAACAAGAAGGAACAGGTTAGATAATCCTTCCAACAATGAAAAACTTTCCTTTATTCTAACTTTTTGGAAAATATCAATAGGAAAATAACTTATATATTTTTTTGTTCAGATATTTTATGTGACCTAGTTTTAGATAACTCAACTTTATTTTCCAGGCTTGTACATTCAGTCATAGGATAGAGGTAGGTAGCCTATTGCTGTTTAAATAATGTGAATGGACATCTTTTCAAGCTCTAAGGTAGCCCTAATTACTAGTAATATTTATGATTAAAATATTGTTGTCTTTTATTTATTTCACACGGTTGCACTATTTTTACAATAATCCTAATGCAAAATACAAGACAGCCTAATTAACACTAACTGAATGCAATGAAATAATAAATACAAAATGTTACTCGAATAAATTATGTTTATTAAGCATGCTATAGGCTACAAGAAAAAAATTTCAAAATAAACTAACAGGCAAAGAGGCTATAGTCCTAAATAACAGGCAAGAAATAATAGCCAATAAATAAAAAGACTATAAATACAGGCAGTAAATGCACTAAAAAATGGTGCTCTTTCAGATAGACTTTTTTGGCGATCACAACTGAGGTGATCCAAAGGTCAACGTGAGGCGACGAGGTTCCCAATCCAGGAGACGAGGTATCACACTGTTGTTCTCATAGTTGTTGGCATAGGCTTGAATGGCAAAGAGGTTCCTTGAGAGAGTTCCTCCCGGCACTCGAAAAGTTAATCTGACCAAACAGATCAGGGCTGACGACATCACCATTTAGAAGATTCTCGAGAAATATAATGCAACATTAGCTAATTCTGTTCTCAGAAGTAGAGATTGAAGCCACAATTGACTTTCAATATCGCTGATGGGAATTGCTGTATAGTTGTAACCTACGACGGCGCTGAAGAGCCACCAACTATAAAAAAATATTTTTCTTAATCTCTGAGAAAAAACACAGAATTCTGAGTTTAAAGTAAGAATATAACAAGTGGGCGTTCCACTCTGAGATTAAAGTCAGAATTTAACTAGTGGGCGTTCCCCTCTGAGATTAAAGTCAGAATTTAACTAGTGGGCGTTCCCCTCTGAGATTAAAGTCAGAATTCAACTAGTGGGCGTTCCCCTCTGAGATTAAAGTCAGAATTCAACTAGTGGGCGTTCCCCTCTGAGATTAAAGTCAGAATTCAACTAGTGGGCGTTCCCCTCTGAGATTAAAGTCAGAATTTAACAAGTGGGCGTTCCTCTCTGTGAAAGGAGTTAGAATTCTGAGATTTAAGTCAGAATTGAATTGTGGGCGTTCATCTCTGAGATTAACGTAAGAATTGTACTTAACTCTATCTAGTCTCTACTACTCTACTCTTCTCACGGCCACCTTTAACTCCAGGCCGCGGCTGGTAGAATTGGCAACGTTGCAAGTAGAAGAACACAGTAGAATAGACAACAGAAATGAAATTTATGTTATTTCTTTTGTCTAAGATAGTAGGGATGATAGCATCGATATGCTGATAATATCGTTGCAATAAGAGAGGAATGCCCAAAGTTCAATTCTGACTTAAGAGTTGAACGCCCACTAGTTATATTCTGACTTTTTTCTCAGAGAGGAATGCCCACTTGTTAAATTCTGACTTTAATATCAGAGGGAACGCCCACTAGTTGAATTCTGACTTTAATCTCAGAGTGGAACGCCCACTTGTTATATTCTGACTTTAAACTCAGAATTCTAAGTTTTAACTCAGAGATTACGACAAAATTTTTTTAACAGTTGGTGGCCCTTCAGCGCCGTCGTAGTAACCCATCTAGAGTCCAACCACTCTAAAAAACCTTCTTTGGATCTTCTGTAGGCAGTCACTTTGCCCATTCGTAAAGGCCTGTTCACACCGGCGAGGCCAGACGTCAGCAGACCTATTCGGTGTATTAATATGTCGCCAGTGTACTGTTCACACCGCCGCTACGTCTGACGGCTACTGTAAATAGCCGGTGAGCCGCTGCAGCATTCTCCCCACCATTGGGCGCCAGCGCCACACACTTGAAGACTCTTGCTGTCTAACATACATCTTGCCGTGCCCGAAGTAGATCATGGCGTCTCATACAGTACCATGGTGCGATCCCTCCTTCACCCTGCCATGAATGAATAGTGATAGTTATAGTAACAATGAACTGTTTTTATTATATTCGGCAACACAATCATTGAAATTGATACACCCAATAAACTGAGGAAGAAACCATTTAATGGATTATTTGATGAAAGATTATGGAAAGTTCGAGTCATTCTACAGACTGGACCAATGTGAATTTAGTGAAGTGTTGTCTCTCATCACAAAGGATGTCGTGAGGTGGATGGAAGTTGGCAGTGACAGCCTGGTGTGCTAGTGTGCATGCGCATATTCGGCGATGCAAGCTATGCATAGCTAGCCAGCGTAGCGGTAGGTAGTGCCGTAGTTCCAGTAGCTCACGTAATACGCCGGTGTGAACACTCTCTTTAAATAACATTAAGAGCTAGTTTAGCGACGTATTCCGAAAACGTATTACGTCTGGCTATGCTGGTGTGAACAGTCCTTTAAAGGGAGTCCACACAATGCTGCAATATCCAAGTACTGAGCTAACAGGCAGATGAAGAGATATCTCAGTGCTGTGATGCTGAGACCATGTTTAGAGGTGCGAATGATGGAGCCCAGTGCCCTTGATGCCTTGCTACAAATCATCTCCACATGATCAAGAAATGTAAGATTTGAGGAGAACACCACCCCAAGATCATGAACTGATGTCTTCTTGGGAATAGCACTGCCATCAATGGTGTTGTCGAAGATAATACGTCTCTTGCTACGGTTAAAGGTGATTGCAATAAATTTTCTACGGTTGTTAGTCTTTGGAGTATAACCGTGTCATATCAAAAGTAACTTTCAAACTTAAGGGTAAAGTACGTTTCGGCCTTTTTGCAGGTAGCTATCTTCAGAGCATGATTAAAAGAATACTCCGGTAATGCTCTAATGATGGTATTTTACGACTAGAAATTATGGTTTGCGAGTTACATGCATTGTAACGTTCATAACCAAATCTTAACCTACAATTTCCAGTTGAATTAGACTAATGCTACTTTCTTCCAACAGATGGATTGTTATGAAGATCAACGACGACAGCAAGTAACTTCCATGATTGACAGGATCATAGATGGAAAGCGAAGGAAGTTATTGGGTCTTAATACTAAAAAGAGAAAGAGGAGCGATGAAGGTGAGGTCGGTGAGGAAAAAATTATGGACATTGAACTGGACAGAGAAGAAATTCTGAAAAATGAGCTCAATAAATCTGCTGAGAATTTTTCCCCACCAGTCCTTGTTCAAACATTTACAAGTAAGTAACAATATATACATCTCTTAAAGTTAATTTAGAATTAACAACCCAATCAATAAATTTAGGACAAATAGTTTTGCCTTAACATAATATCCCTTATGAATGAACAAGTATTTAAAGACCTACTGCAATAAAATGAAACAAGCTATCAGTAAAGTACTATGTTCCGAAAACTAGATTTTTTTAACTGAACATCTAGGAAATTTGTCAAAAGAAGTAATATTTTAACAGCACCAAAAGTATATTTAAAATGTATTTATTAAGGCTTACTTGTCAACTTCCTTAATAATTCCTGGCAAATGCCCCATCTTTTTATCAGATACCTAACTTAATATTAATTTAAAATGTATTTGTTCGTTGTCCCTTTCTCTCCCTTCTTTATTATTACTCTACTTACCATTACAAAATCCTTGATTGTAGCCCATCTAATCACGTCAATTACATTTTTACATAACGGTACCTGTACATATTTACACTATTTACATTTTAAGTTAGCTTAGCAAAATAAACAAATTTTCTGTTGCGAAGGCCGCAAGGAGCTCTTTGGAGGAGTAAGTGAAGGGTTTCTTAAAATATTCTTTAACAGAGTAATATAGTATATTTCATTACTACGACTAAACATCTGTATTCCTTTTCATATATTTCCTGTGATTTCTTTGGTGTGTAACAATGAAAACAGCTGATTTAAATAATGAAAAAAAACCTAACAAAACACTAGCACACTTAGTGGATAAATGGAGAACTAATCGAGAGCAAGGGAAAGTAAATTTAGAGGGAAGGAAAATCAGCTGAACTTTTTACCTCCCTCTAAATTAGAGCTTGTGAAGCAATTAAAAACTTTCTTTGATATCAGCTGTTATTGAAAATAATATTGTAACTTTTGGTAAGGAGTGATGAAAAGGTTATTTTTCCTAAGCCAATTCTCATTTTAGCGAATTTCCCATATAGGGAATAAGCTACATTACTGTAGTACTCATGGTAACTCATGGTACTCATGGCCTGGACCCGGGACCGATTTAATTTTTTGTTTTGAGGTTCCTAGAGTCCAAAAACACCAACCGTTCAATTTCATATGTATAAATGGGTGTGTGTCCGTTAGCATGATAGGCCTGTCTCGAGCAAAAATGATTAGATTTAGATTAAATTCAGTATAAACGTGTAAAACATTTATTCAAACGAGTTTGCAAACCAGCATGATCGGACCATGGAAAAGGGGGTTTATGGGGCAAAAATTGGGTTTTCTCATTTTTGGCCATAAAAACATAAAATTTAGCAATTTCTTTCCGAACCATTTTGAAGAGCTTCAAAAACAAATATTTCAGTATATTGAAGCGTTATTGTGCGCCTAATGGCCATGGAGAAAATTCCAAAAAAAAATTTAAGTTTGTATTATTTTTATGGAGAATAAGTAACTTAAACTGTTGTTGTTTGCTTGTTTATGGACATATTTTGATCACGTTTGGAAAATGCTTTATTTCAAACTAAACTATTAACATTTTACAAAATGAAAATTTTTTACCCACCCTGTTGCAGCAAACCTAGAGTACTCGTTAAACTAATGCTATTTAAATAGAGAATAAGTGTGATATTTCTAAGGAGACATTTTAGTATAAATCCAATTAGGCAGATGGAAATTTGCTTAGTCTGCACATTTGCTGCAGCGGAGGTATTTTATTTTTTTATTGACTAATAGGAAATGAAACACTGCTCTATTTGAGGCAGAACCTAAGATGTTTTTATGTTCTGCGTCAGAACATTAAACATCTTGAAGGAAAGTACTGGGTGGCTATCTTTTTATCAAACTTAGGTGATTTATTATCTATTGTAACGTATAAATTTGTTTAGCGCATTTAAAAGCAGTAAAACTACAGTAGACTCCCTCTTATCCGGACTCCTCGGGACCGAGGGCAGTCCGGATAACACTTTTTCCAGTTAAACCGACGTCTTCAAGAACTCGTTAAAAAGGACCGTTTAAATGCATACTGTATACTGTATACAGTATTTGACAGTAAAATTTAGGAAAATTTAGTCCTTTAAAATTTAGGAGAGCATTGTATTTAGACACATGACTACTGGTCTCATATATCTTTCCTGTTGAGAACAGTCGTTTCAGTACTGCCCACTTCATGCCGATCTAGTCGGGTTAAACCGATGAGCTGATAAAAATTGTCCGGTTAAAGAGACGTCATTTCCGCCAATTGCAGTCCGGTTAAAAGGTGAGAAGGAGTCTTCTGTAGATGCAGCATTGGGCCGCTCAATTAATATAACCATTTTTAAGACCGTTTTAAACATTTGGTTCACACAAATCGAGCACTTGATCTTGGTTATGAATATGCCTACTGTGAATAGAGTTTTTGTTTGTTTAAAAATGTGCTTCCTTTCTGACCCAAGGGAATTAACAATATAAAAATAATTACAGGTGAACAATGGCTGGGTGATACAGACACCAAGAAAGTTATTTGGAAGTTCCCAGAATCTGATCACGAGAAGCTGAAGTATTTTGTGTTTAGGGATTTGTGGGAGAAAGGGTATTACATCACTGATGGTCACAAATTTGGTGTCGACTATTTGGTGTACCCAGGTAAAATAGCTGTAACATTTTACAAATTTCCTCATGCAACGATATAATAAATATAAGAGGTCGTCCCAATGGTCGAAAACTCAACCAAAAATATCTAATGTACAGACTTCTCTATTTTCACCCCACGCTGGAAATAAAACATGAGATTGGAATTTCTTCCATTTGTTATGATTTTCTGTTCATTTCGTTGTTATTTTGTCAACCAGCATGACAACCCATAAGGTCCATGTTATTTTTTTTATATTTTAAATTCAAATTTTGTGCTTATTTTTGAGCCTATTTTAGTTTATGAAGGAATTCTGCACATCTGCTGGCAAATATCTTTCCAACAGTATGCGTAGATTTTCCTTGCGATGCACACGAGCTGAGAAAAAAGGTTTTAAAGAAACATGCTTACCTTAATATATAGATATGCAATAACATAGACGTATACGGTATACTATAGTTTGTTCACAAAATTTAGGCGTTTTAAGGGAAAGGCTTGTATAGTCACTAGGCAGAGTAGACACGAGTAGTAATTTTCTTATATTTCATCACATTCACAACACTTTCGATTGACTTAAGTTTGATGAGAATGGACCTTTTATTGATTAACTGATTCAACATGAGTCTTTACAGATCGGATTTCATATTAATGTAAATGGCGGCATGAGAGTTTTTAATGTATATGACGCTAGACTCAAATATCTTGTTAATTTATTTGTTCTAACTAGCCGCACTAATTGAAAAAGCGGCCAGTCAATTTCCAAACATTTTAATGCCTGTTAATTTAGACTCATGCAAGGTCAATATATCTTTTTAGGCCCTACTGACATAAATACTGGAAATAAATTCAAAATTCCAACAAGCTTTTATTCTAGATTCAAACCCCATGAACAGAACATGTTAATTTGCTAGTAGTTTAGAAAAAAACTATTTTTTTTTGTTTTTCCTTTGCCTTGTCACAAAATATTCTCGTTATTTCTGTAATTACAGTACTAACCTATTTTATCAGTTATAAATGTTTAGTATGAATACTATAAACATGACAAAGCATCAATTAGTATATTCTAAAACACTTGGTGCATATTGAATTAACATTTTATACCATCATATTAGTCAGATGACATCAACATTTTACCTCTTCCATACAATACTCTCAGTCTATAAACAAATCTCGTTGTGCAGGTGACCCAGTAAAATTCCACGCTCAATTCCTGATTGTGTGTATCGAAAGTAACAGCAACATACCTCCTTCAGATCTCATTGCTTATGCCCGGCTAGGATCAACATCAAGAAAAACATTTGTTATCGCAAGTAAACTGCCTGATAAAGAAGACATATTTTACAGTTCTTTTCAATGGAATGAGAAAAGTTAACAATGCAATACAGACTGGGTTTTCATGAACGCCTAATTGTGAGTGAAGTGGAAGCTAATAAATCAACAAGAAGATCATCCAGGAATTATCTTTGTGTCTTTTCCACAAATGTCTGTCTCCATGTAAACACTAGAAGAAATCTCCTGGATGTTTAGCTCTAATTAGTATCTTTGTTTGTCTTGGAATCATCTAGAAGATTTTTGGGCTCGAGTTTGAAAAAAACCTTGCATTGGTATTGTGAGGTAAAGATACTGAAAGTGAAATAGTAATATTTTTTACCTACTTTTGTACTTCTGATCCCTCCCTGTTGCACCAAACCTAAGTACTAGTTGAACTAAGGCTGTTTAAATAGGGAATAAATGTGATATTTTTAATTTCATTTTGAAGAGTTGTTAAGCCTCCGGATTACGTTTGAATATTTATAATGGTTTAAATACCTGCATTCAGTAATCCAAAATGCTGTTTGTGGCAACTATAGTTTCGATTCACAGGGAACCATCTTCAGGCCGTACAAGGCGTCGTTATTCACCTCCGTATACGAAGGTCGTCATTTAATAAATAAGTACATAGAACACCAACACTTGAAAACGCACATTGATACAAACTTGTTTTAAACAGGTTTTAGGAATGAATAAGGTCGATAAATGCTCGATAACGTAACTTATAAAAAGTATAAAATTGTAGTAGCCTTTTTAAAGATAATAACAACACTAAAAATAAGATAATAGAACAATGGCATAAAAACATCACTTATTTATTCTGTTTGATTTTCTATTCTATCTCGGGGTTATTCCACAAGTTGCCATGATTTATTTACTAATCATTAATCACTCAACCACAAGCTACTATAAGTCGGCCACTTAGAAAGCGACCTCTTCTAGCATTGGTAAAGCTAAGTTGTCACGACTACTAATCACCCAATCGCAAGCATTATGTCGTCTGCCGCTGTGACCTGTGACAGACAGATGTGTACTATATGGGATATGATATAAGTATAAGATGCTTATTGCAGTTGTACTCAACTCAAGCTTTGCGTTTGCAATGGGGGGGGGGGGAGATATTTTGATATAATTTGCTTCTTTAAATTTACGGTATACTATAGTATTACACATCTACCATAGCCGTAATGTTCCACCACTTCACCTAAACAACAGAATAAAATAAATTATTAAAAGTTCACAAAATAAAAATAATTATTCTAGAAATTAAAAACATAAACATAACTGTAAACAATCCTACTTTGACAGTTCTCATTGCATATCACAGTGTTGGCCTATGTTGCTGCTTACTTAAAATTAGCTGTTTTCATAATTTCCAAAAAAATATAGAGCTGCACCCTGTTGGTAAATCTTATAACTTTTAATGCTTTTGCATATCATAGAACCAACTTTTTAAATTGAAACAGCTGACTAAATTCTTTAATTCCCTTTAAATATGAATCCTTGAACTACAAAGCCATTGGGGCGGAGCTCGAAAGGATTTTTGAAATAAGAATATACCTATATGTTAATCGGCAATGTGAGCTATCATCATGCCAAATTTCAGCCCGATCCGTCTAGTAGTTTATGCGTGATTGAACTTCAAACAAACACACAAACTTTCACATTTATAATACTAGCTGGCCCGACTGACGTCGTCCTGTCCTAATGTGGTTTTATGTCAAATGCTCGTTCATTTTCAAGATGAGCTCGTTCGCATGGCTTAATCACGTCCTGGGTTCGCTACGCTAACTCGCATCCGGGTTGAAGTTTAATAATGTCTGAAAGTTTCATTACAATCTGTCAAACGGTTTCGGAGTCCATAAAAGACAAACAAACAAACATACATTGGATTTTATATATATAGATTAGTAAGAAGTATAAAATATATATACGTCCGTTAGCATGATAACTCGAGCAAAAATTATCCGATTTTGATGAAATTTGGTGTAAACGTGTACCAAACATTTACATTTATATTCAAACAAGTTTGCGAACCAGCATGATCAGACTATGGTAACGGGAGGTTTTATATGGTAAAAATAGGTTTTTCCCATTTTTGATCCAAATACCCCCGCCGCAGCAAACCTGCCGACTAAGCGAATTTCCATTTGTCTGAATTGATTTTCAGTTAAATATATTTTAATAACATTAGGTTTAACGAGTACCTAGGTTTGCTGCTACAAGGAAACTAATAAAGTGTGTTTTTGAGTAAAATATTGATAGCTTAGTACAAAATAAATAAATTTGCCAAGTTTGATCAAAATATATCCATAAACAAGCAAACTACAACATTTGACAATATTCTCCATAAGAATAACATGGGAATTTTAAATTTACAATTTTTTTAATTTTCTCCGTTACTAATAATCGAACAAAAATACTTTTATATACTAAATTATTTGTTTTTTTAAGCTCTTTAAAAAGGTCTAAAGAGAAATCGGGAAATTTTGTGTTTTGAGGGTCAAAAGTGAGAAAAACCAATTTTTACCCCATAAAACCCCCCGTAAAGCCCCGTTCCCATGGTCCGATCGTGCTGGTTCGCAAACTCATTCAAGTTTATCCCGCTTTACACCTTTAAACCAAATTTCATCAAAATCGGACAAAAATTACTCAAGTTATCGCGTTCACGGACGTATATATATATATATATATAAGTCTATATATATATACATATATACAAATTTGAACGAATGGTGTTTTTGGCCTCTGGGGACATCAAAATGAAAAAGAGTAAATCGGTCTCGGGTCTAGGTCTTACCGTGCCACCTACGGTAATAGCTACTTCCCTTTGGAAATTCGCTAAAAACATAAAATTTAGCAATTTCTTTCCAAACCATTTTGTAGAGCTTAAAAAAACAAATAATTTAGTATATTGAAGAGTTATTATGCGCCTAATGGTTACGTAGAAAAAAAAAATTAAATTTAAAATTCCCATGTTATTCTTATGGAGAACAAGTAAACTGTTGTAGTTTGCTCGTTTATGAACATACTTTGATCAAATTTGGAAAATGTTTTTATTTCTTACCAACTAGGAAGCGGGGGGAATTGGGAGGTATGTTTTACAAATGTATCTGGTTAGGCCACTTTTCCTATTTTTGTTGTTAAATGCCTACTTAATTAATTTTATAATACAAAAAGCTATCTTTTTCATGTTTTATTTTTTTCCCGCAATTCCCCAAAAAAATTTAAAAAAATTAAATGTTTTTTACCACCCAATTACCCCGATGGGGGTAATTGGGTGGTAGGTCAACAATCCATAAACACTAAATGCTAATTAAAGTTGGGAAATTGGGTGTTATAAAGGAAACTAAAAGCAACATTTTTAACTAGGTTTGATAAAAAACAAACAAAATTTACCATAAATTTTGTGGCGACAAACATATTTTTCCTAAACTACGCACATAAAAAAAAATCTTTAACCACAATTAAATATTATGGCCTACAGTTTTTAAATTCATAATATAAAGAGTACATTAATAATATTAACAGGAAAATAGGGACAAATGTTTCTCTAATAAGGTTTAAATTATGTAATATGGTCTCGAAACTTTACAAAATGAGGCACGATTTTCCAGTCCTTCGCATGATATAAAACAAGGGAGGCTGTATAAACTAATGTACTGTAGGCCTAATGCATTAGTTTACTACATCAGCTCAGTCGCTACTACAGTCTTTATGCCTATTTAAGTAACTATAATACAATTTTGTGACTTTTTTAGGTCTTCTGGGTTCAGTCCAATGTGACGTGAACTCACGGGTGTTGGGTGGTATAGGGTTAATGGTATTGGTATAGGGGTAATTGGGTGGTAGTGGTGAAATACCAAAACTAAAACTCTAGTGTGAATTATATTCATAAAATATTATTATTATTGCCTTTTTTAATTAAATTAAGCCAAGGAAACAGTATTAGCTCTGTTTTAAAATTTACCACCCAATTTCCCGTAAGGGGGTAATTGGGTGGTAACATTTTTGAAAATAAATAAATAAATTAGAAGTAGTTTTATTATGAAAATAAGTATTGGGCATGTTCTTTGGTATATTTTTATTCATTTTATGGTGAAAAATAATGTAATTTCACATGTATGAAAATTTTAATGCATTTTATATGAAAGATTGAAAAAGTTTGCATACCACTTTTAGAATCGCGAAATGACAAGGGTCCCTAAAACTATTTCCCTCCTTTAAATGTTTAAAGGTACAAATCTGAAAAGGTTATGGCTTATTCTTGAAGAGATTGGCTGTCCATACATGTCATTTAAATGTTAAAATATCAATAATTAAAAAATATAAAAATTGTTAAAAATTTTACCACCCAATTACCCCGCCCACCCAATTCCCCCCGCTTACCCAACATTTAACAAAAAAAAGAGTTTTACCCTCCCTGATGCAGCAAACCTAAGTACTTGTTAAACTTATTCTATTTAAATAGGAAATAAATGTTATATTTTTTAGTAGACATTTTAGTGTAAATCCAATCAGGCAAATGGGAACTCGCTTAGTCTGCAGGTTTGCTGCGACGGGGGTATTTAAAACTTAAACAGGCTATTATTTATAAAATCTAATATATAAAATTCTCGTGTCACAGTGTTTGTCTGCAAACTCCTCCGGAACGACTTCACCGATCGTTATGAAATTTGGTGTGTAAATTCTGTAGGTATGCGAATCGGACGTAAACTATTTCCCGTTTCGAAATTCTTAAAAGGGCTCCGCCCCAGTGGCTCTGGAGTTTCCCATGTTAACCTTATGAGAAATGGAATTAATGAATCTTAACAGCTGTTTCAATTAAACAAGTTGGTTCTGTTCTATGATGTTCAATAGCATTAAAGTTACAAGGATTACCAACAGGGTGCAGCACTATTATTTCTTTTACATTTTTATGACAACAGCTAATTTGCAACCAAAAGGTGAGTGAGCGTAGCGAACGAACTTCAACCTGGAGGCGAGTTAGCGTAGCGAACGAGCTAACCTGAAGGCAAGTGAGCGCAGCGAACGAGCTCCAACCTAAAGGTGAGTGAGCGTAGCGAACGAGCTCCAACCCAAAGGTGAGTGAGCGTAGCGAACGAACTTCAACCTGGAGGCGAGTTAGCGTAGTGAACGAGCTAACCTGAAGGCAAGTGAGCGCAGCGAACGAGCTCCAACCTAAAGGTGAGTGAGCGTAGCGAACGAGCTCCAACCCAAAGTTGAGTGAGCGTAGCGAACGAACTTCAACCAGGACGTGATTGAGCGATGCGAACGAGATCATCTTGAAAATTAAACGTAACGGTACTTTCTTTCCATCGGTCTGTATTAGGGGAAACCTATAACTGAGGCGATACAAAGTTCGCCGGGTCAGCTAGTATTTCTATAATATTCTTCAAAAAGGCGTTTAAAGTGTTTTTAAAAATATTTTTACCATTAC